GAAAGACTTCTTGCTTGGGACATATTTGGTGCAAAACAATGGTTTATTAAAACACAGGGGCCCGTGGGCAGAAAGAGCTGCTACACAGGGGTTGGGGGGACTTATTATGTATACTGCGGGGTTGGAGGCATAGGGAAAAGGGAAGTTTCAAAAGAACTTTCAGGTGCTAAAGAACACCTATGAGATACCGGAGGCCTTGTCCCTGTCAGGTAAATGTTGTTTCTCCCCTCTAGCAAGGCATTACCCTGAAGACGGTTAAGAGATTCCTGGAAGAATGCCACAAGCGCCCCACCCAGGGGTGGGAATGGGGGGATGTTGCAGGCTGTCTACTTCTGCTTTGTCTTCAGCCAGCCTTCTGCTCCTTCATCATCTCCTTGGGGTCTTTCCCACTGTCTTGATGTGGCCCTTTATTTGTTTGTTGTGAAGGAGCTGTTTAGTTAGTCTTCAGGTCTTTTTCAGAAGGAATTGTACCACCCGTAGCTGTAGAGTCTGTGTGTCCATGGGAGGAGAGTTTAGGACCTTCCAAATCTTCCATTTGGGACGACCCTAGATCACTGGTTGATTACAAAATGATACAACTTGGGAACAGGCAGATGGTAGAGTTACGGAGGGCTAGGTATGGGGAGGGGTCATGCAGCTTCTCTGTCCTCTTCAGACCAGCCACACTCTCCCCAACCTTCACATGTTGGCCAACCCAGAAGCTTCAGAGATGCCTTTTTTTTTTTAAAGGTTTTATTTATTTATTTGACAGAGAGAAATCACAGGCAGGCAGAGAGAAGAGGAAGCAGGCTCCCTGCCAAGCAGAGAGCCCGATGCAGGACTCGATCCCAGGACCCTGAGATCGTGACCTGAGCCGAAGGCAGAGGCTTAACCCACTGTGCCCCAGAGATGCCTTCTTAATTTCCTTCCCAGATTGCTCGTTGCTGGTGTAGAGGCACAGGTGGGTTTTGTGTGTTGATCTTTTACCCTACAACTTTGCCAAATTCACTAATTAGTTCAAGGAACTTTTTTGTGGATTGTTTGGGGTTTTCTTAATAGGATCATGTCATCTATGAATAGTTAATATTACTTCTTCTCTAATTTTGAGGTCTTTTATTCCATTTTCTAATTGCTCTAGAATTTCCAATATCTCATTGTAGTTTTAATTACCCTAATAACTGATAATGTTGACATCGTTTTCATGTGTTTATTAACCATGTGGATGTCCTCTTTTGTGAAATGTCAACTTAAGTCTTTTGTCCATTTTTTCAAATGAGTTGTCTTTTGTATATCTGTATCTATCTAACTCTAGATACATATTTATCTTCTGATACAATACTTTGTCAGATATATGCATTACAAATATTTCCTCCTAGTCCATGGCTTAACTCTTAATGGTTTTTTAATGGATAATTCTTAATTTTAGTGAAGTCAGTTCCATCATTCCATTATGATTTCTGTATCTATTTAAGAAATCTAGGGGCGCCTGGGTGGCTCAGTGGGTTAAACCTCTGCCTTCGGCTCAGGTCATGATCTCAGAGTCCTCAGATCCAGCCCCACATTGGGCTCTCTGCTCAGCAGGGAGCCTGGTTCCCCCTCTCTCTGCCTGACTCTCTACTTGTGATCTCTGTCAAATAAATAAATAACATCTTAAGGAAAAAAAAAAAAGAAAAGAAATCTTTGCCTATCCAATTTCACATATTTTTTTAAAAAAGATTTTATTTATTTATTTGACAGAGAGAGACAGCAAGAGAGGGAACACAAGCAGGGAGAGAGGGAGATGGAGAAGCAGGCTTCCCGCTGAGCAGGGAGCCGGAGGCAGGTCTTGATCCCAGGAACCTGGCCTTCAACTCAGGTCATGATCCCAGGGTCCTGAAATTGAGCCCCGCGTCAGGCTCTCTCCTTGATGGGGAGCCTGCTTCTCCTTCTGCCTGCTGCTTTCCCTACTAGTGCCCTCTCTCTGCCAAATAAATAAATAAAATTAACAAAAAAAGGTACTACATTTACATAGTGCTTAATTAAAAAACTATCAAAGTGGTGAGCAGAAGGGAAGCTGAGGACAAAGCACAAGCTGATCCCCGCCCCCCACCACTGTGGGATACTTGGGATACTTGTGACATTCCTCAGGCCCTCCTGGATGCCCTAAAACTAGGGGAAGGGAAACAAAAATGGTTACTGATAAAGATCACAGTCCTACAGGACTTGAGTTCGTAGTTTACAAATGTCTTAGTGATGTACAAGGAAAAAGCATTCGTATGGATAGCCTAACCTCCAGAGATCCATAGACTCAATTTCTGGGAGCCCTAAAATCACCCTCCACTGTGATGTGGAGAACAAAGGTAAAAGGAAATGCAGGTAAAATGAGATTTCCCTATAACCTGCAGCCATCGACAAGGACTTGCAATCAGAAGAGTATAATGTTCCTCCGGGAAACTCCCAACTGTCTTTTTATTTTCTTTTTAAGATTTTATTTATTAGTCAGCAGAAGCAGGGGGAACAGCAGACAGAGGGAGAGGGAGGCTCTCCACTGAGCAGAGAGCCAGATGTGGGGCTCAGTTCTAGGACCCCAGGATCAGGACCTGAGCCAAAGGCAGACACTTTTAACCGACTGAGCCACCCAGGTGCCCCAAACTCCCAACTGTCTTAATACTTTACCAGAGGGAAAAACAACCTCAGCTTCATGTTGGCAAGGGCTCTAGCATCCTGAAAGTCTTTTTTAATATATCAAAGTCCTTTCAGACGTCTCCCTTTTTCCTTGCTTCCCCCAACTCCCAAGTATATTATCAGCCATTCCTCACAACCCCAGTGCAGCAGCTCTTTCTGCCCATGGGCCCTGTCCCCGCGCTTTATTAAAATCACCTTTTTTGCCCCAAAGACATCTCAGGAATTCTTTCTTGGCCATAAGCTCCGGACCTCACCAACATCCCAAAACTCATCAAAAACATACACAATAAAAAGTTTCTCTCCCACCCTGTCTTCCAGGCAGCCAGTCTCCTACCCAAAGACAACAAATAACTACTGGGGTTTTGTGTGTGCTTCCAGAGATAGTCTCTCTATTTACAAACATGGGTGTGCATTTCCCCAGTTCCCACTTTTAAAAACCCACACACAATGAGAAGTGTGAACATAGTGTTTTAAACCTAACTTTTCTTCTTTCGTCTGATGTATCTTTGTGCTTCCAGTGACCCACAATAGTCTTACTGTAATGACATGTGTGTATTCTTCAGAGGCTAACGCAGCTGTGCGCCTAGAAGGAACCCAAAGTACATTCAAATAGAACTAGACTTTCCGAGCTCTGAGGGTAGAGACCAACCAATCCGCTTTATTTTACAGGCAGGATAATTTACTGAAAGTCAAAATCACTTGCCTAAGGTCTTCCAGTTACCATATACAATAATGAAGGAGAGCCAACCTCAAGGATCATCCACGTCATTTCAGTGCATGTGTACAGGTGGCTAAACGGCTCAGCCTAACAAGTGTAGACTATTTTAAATAGAGTCCCCTATGGTGTTAACTCGTATCTGGTCAGTTTCAGTTTAAAAAATAACCTCACACCGGTTAGTCCATATAGTAGTCCTCTGGTCAGTGGCTCCTGTCTGCATTTTGTGGAGGGCAGAACGGCACGGCTGCGGGTTTTCTTCTGGCTTCGGATCCGTGTGTTAGGCAGTCCTAAGTGCTCCCGAGTAAACGGGAGATGCTGTCCGGCCGGGAGGCCGTGCGCTCGGGGCTACGCCGCGCGCACCGTGCACGGGCCGGGCTCCGTGGCTGCGGGTGAGAGCCGGCTCAGACGCCGGGGCAGCCCCAGGTGCTCAGCACAGGGGTGGGGATGGTTGTGTACTCAGCACCCCGGCTAGTGCGGGCGCCACTCTCGGGATCCGGGTTGCCCGAGGGCGGTCCCCGCGCCGGGTGCGTGGTGCTCGCGCGCGGATACGCCTGTGCGACGTGCGCTCAGCCCTGGGAGCTGGCTCCGTGCCGCCTGACCGTCTCTGCCTGGGACTGCTTAAGGGCGAGGGTTAGGCGACACTCCGCCGCCCCGTACCGCCGGCTCGCGGCCAGGACTCGGGTTTCCACCACCAGGCTGGGACCCGGCAGATACTCGGGCTCCCACCCACGCTCCAGAAGGAGGAGGGCGGGAGGAGGGCGGAGGCCGGCGCCGCGCACACGCGCCGGGACACGCCCGTCAGCGCGCGCAGGCGCAGCCTCCCCTTCCTGATTGCCTCGCGGTCCCACCCCTCTCCCGGAAGTCTTCCCGTCCCGCCCCCCCGAGAGCAACGAGGGATGCAAGTGGGCACTCCGGTTGTCCATCAGTCCGGTCTCACTGCCATTGGCAGCCGGGGAAAAGGCCGGCCGGCCGACTTCTGCCGACTCGGCGCCCCCACGGAAGCCGCGATTGGCGGAGGCCGGGCCCCGCGGCCGCTCGCTTCCGGTCTCCGCGAGCCCTCCCCGCCGCCGCCGCCGCCGCCGCCGCCGCCCTCAGCCTCCCCGCCCCCCGCCCTTCCACCATGGCCGCCTCTGTGTGGTGTGGGGAGAAGCTGGCCCTCGGTATCCTCTTGTAGCGCGCACTGCCTCCCCCTCACCCCTCGGGCCGGATCCAAAGGAGCCTCGCTCCCCAGCACTCCGGCCCCGCCAGGAAGCTCCCCTACCCCTACTGCAGGGGCAGGACTCCTCTTCCCCAGCTGCTGAGGCAGACACTTAGGGTTGGAAGCCAGAAAGGGCGCCCCGTCCACTCGAGGGGCGGAAGGCTCGCGTGCCCCGCCCGGAGGTGCGGACCTGCCCCCGGCACCCCCGGAGCTGGCGGCCTTCGCTCAGCACTGCCACCCCAGACACAGGACCCCGAGGGCCGCCCACGCCCGCGTCCTCCACAGGAGCGGCCTTTCGGAGACGAGGGCTGGGCGGACAGCGCGGGACCCTGCCCGACCCCGCTCGTGCCTCTGGCCCCAGGCCCCGGCCCCCGGAGGGGTCGTTTCTAGGACTTCCCGCCCGTCCACCCCCCGGCCTCTTCCCGTGTCTTGGCCGCGGCCATGGAGTTGCAGAAGGGGAAGGGGGCGGCAGCGGCCGCTGCGGCGGGAGCGGCGGGAGGAGGAGCGGGAGCAGGAGCCCCAGGAGCGGGGAGGCTGCTCCTCTCAACCAGTTTGGATGCCAAGGATGAGTTAGAGGAGGTAGGTGTGGGGGGTGCGGAAGGGGGCCGAGCGCCCGGGCCGAGCAGGGCCGCCGGCGCGGAGCGGGGCCGGGGCGGGGGGCCGGGGACCGGGCCTCCAGGCAGTGCCGAGGCAGCACGAGCGCAGCTCCACACTTCCTGCTCCGGGAGGAAGGAGCGCGGCCGACTTCCTGGACCGGTTGTCATGGCAACAGCAGTCACTTGGAGGAGGTCGGTGGGGGTGTCGGGGAGGAAGGGAAGCGCGGTCCAGATCGGCCGACGCTCCTTTCCTCGCAGGGACCGCGCGTGCGCTTCGTACCTGTCCTGCCTCAGCCGGGGCGCTCCTATTCCGAGCTGTGCGTGGACGTAGTCCGTTGACGGCGATGTGCACTGCGCATTTGGGACGTGTGGAGCCCCGAGACGGTGGTGTTTAGTTAGGGTACCCTCGCCTACAGCCTCTGTCCTTCAGAAGCAGAGAGCACTCACGGGAGGCTGCTGAGGGAGAGGGTCGAGTGAAGTCACGCTGGGTAGTGGACCCTCTTCTCCCCCACTAGTTCCCTCTTGTCCCCGACCGCGCAGATGCTGCCGCACAGCTCGGAATAGGAGACCCAGTGCTGAGACGCAACTGCGGGACTATTTGTGATGTCTGATGCCTTCAACTCCCTGCTCACCCAGGGACAGGAAGAGCACAAGAACAGCACCTGGCCTTCCCTGACCATTTCACTGCTTGCTTTTTTTTTTTTTTTTTTTTTTTAAGATTTTATTTCTTTGACAGAGAACGAGCACAGGAGGCAGGGGCAGTGTCAGGCTCCGCAGTCAGCAGGGAGTCCTATGTGGGGCTCCATCCCAGGACCCTGGCTGGGATCATGACCTGAGCCGAAGGCAGATGCTTAAAACTGAGCCACTCAGGTGGCCCCATTTCCCTGCTTTTTGTCACTGCCCTTTATCAGTCACAGAGGGTGGGCAGGCAGATAGGTGGAATTCATAGTTTAGATTTTAAAAAAACGTTGGTTCAGATACAAAGTGATGGAACATATATGCAGAAATGAGCTTTGCAGATCAAGGTGGTGGGGTATAACTTTGTGGATCATCCTTTGGCAAATGTCTGCTCACAGGCTGGTTTTCCATCCTGCTTCTCCCCGGTAATTCTGTGTGCATTTAGAGAAATCAAAGTTTTTCTGCTGTTGTTTTTAATCAGCTAAGATAGATACAATTAGGAGAAGAAACAATGCTACTAAAAATAATGTATTCCTAAAACAATAAAAATGGCTGTAGGATTGTCTGGCCCTTTGAACTGCCCACTTTTTAAGAACTGGCCACTGCCATTGTCTAAGTTTTTGTTGAGCCCAGTGTTCTGGTACTGCAGCTCTAAAACTGTAGGAAGAAAATAGCTGACTGCCTTTGATCCCTCCACCAGTTTGGGCGGAGGGAAAAAGCCCCCAAGCGTTGGACGAAAATCTGTTTATTACCCACCCTGATTGCCAGAGGGTTCATCCTGCCACTGCTGATTTGTACCACAGCCTAGTACAGCGTCCTGTTCTGAACAGTGACGTGTTTGCTAGGAGACTCAGTGATATGGTGGGAGGGAACCATGAAAGAGAGGAAGCATTTATTTTTTTGTTTTTTTGGACTGAGAGTGAACTTTAAACTGTTTTCAGAGAGAAGGGGCAGGGAAGGTCTCTCTCTCCGTTTTTTCCTCCTATCCTTCCTGGTGTAGATGTTTCCCAGCATTTCTTGGCTTCCTCTTTTCCTTTTTTGGCCTTTACCCTTTGCATTTGAATTTTCCATGTTTTTAACGCATGTGTATGGTTCCCACTGGACCAGAGTGTCCCTAAGGGAAAAACTTACTGGCTTCTTCCTCTGTGTCTCCCCACAGAGCTCTGTATGCAGAAGTTATCAAAACCTGCTGCTGAATGACTGGTCTGTGTTTGTTCTGGCTGGTGTGGTACTTCCCATCGCAGGTGTACCTATTGCCCAGGAACACAGAGGTAGCTTCTTAACTGTCTGTGCTTCCTGTGTGCAGGCTCCTAGGAATATAGATGAGGGAGACCCAAGTCTGCTTTGGCAGAGCTTCTCATCTGAAGACTGAGTTAGCATACCCACAAGGAGGGTGAAAAAAAAGCACCTCAAAAACCTGGTAGTAAAGAGGCTGGGGTCGTTGTAGCTGGGTGTGGTGAGGAAAGGTCCCTCAAGAGTCCTGAGGGACGGACACGATGCTGAAGAGCGTCCCAGCCAGGAACTGTGAATCTTCTACTCAAGGGAACATTCGTTGTGTCCTTTCTTCTCTTTGGCTCTGTTTCTCTCTTTGAAGGGGAAATTCTTGCCCATCCCATTCCAAGTTGGGGAATGAGATAAAAATAGGGCCAGAGATTGGAGGCATTTAGAACATGCAGCTAGTCTCCTTTCCGCGGCTCCAGCTCATTCCTCGCTGGGAAGGACCTGGTCTACTCTGAAGTCGGGCTGAAAGCGGAACTGTGGCTTAAACAAGTCAGAACTTCCTCTTAAATGATGGACAGGTCTTAGGGTTGCACTGGGTAGAGGTGCGCCCCTTTCAGGTTTGCTCCAAGGGGTAATTCATCTCTTGTCTCTGCAGAACCTTCAGGGAACAGGCTTTGAGCCATCTCTAATTTTTTTCCCCTGAAATCCTCATTGCACTTAGAAGTGACTCTTGGCTATAGAGTACTTGGAAACCAGCTTATTCAGTAACTCCTCACTGATGTGGGCTCTTGGGGATTTTGTAGGTTGAAACCTACCTTCTTTTCTGAAGACAGTGGACTTTGCTCCTTCAGGGCCACTGACTTCCCATAAGAGACCACTGTTTAATACATAATTTACCAGACTGTCTTTTCATCCATTTGAGGGAGCGGAAACTGGGAGGTTAGAGGGATCTCTCTGCCTTCAGCCCCAAGCTTCAGGTATATACTGGCAACCTGGAAGGCCTTCCCCTACTCTGCCCCGCTGCGTCTACTGCTGCTGTCGTGGAGAACATGGGCAGGTACTCTTGGTACTAGAAAAGTTATTTCAGAAGCTCCTAGAGATGGTAAACATTTACTCAGCTCTCTGAGGTGCTGTCATGGAGGGCTTACTCTGAACAGAGCCGCTCTGCCAGTAATTGTTGGCAACTTTGTGTATGATTCCAAGTTTACTAAGGGCCTCAGGGGACTTAGGGGGGAAGAGGGCTACTGCTACCTAATTGTAGGGATTTGACTTCCTATAGGCCTTTTTGGTGGGTGGTGGTCCTTCTTTCACTCTGAACGATTTGTAATTCCTTCTCCCATCCTTGTTTGGAAAAGTGATTTCTGTAGTTTGCGAAGAGCAGCATCTTCCACATTTCTGTTGCCTAGAAATCGCCCTCACATTTCTTTCCTCATCACTTTTATCCATGCATCCAAATTCTGGGCTCTCCTACTTCCTGCATCCTTAGCTGGGCCTCCCTGTTCCAAGAGGCCACTTTTGTTCTTGACTGGGCAGTGACCCATAGAACTGACTCAAGCCTCTGAGTGGAGCTTAGAGTAAGGAGGGGCCTCGAGAAACCTGGTTCTGCCCAAGGTCTCTGTGTGTCAGATCACAGCCACACGTAAGTTGGCCATTCCATAGGCTCATCCTCACTGTGTAAGGATCCTGGTACGGGGTCCGGCACTTGGGCCTCCCCTCACCTCCCTTACCCTTCCTTCATCTTCTCTCCTAGAAGGCAAAAGTTTACAGAGGGCGATTAGGAAGCTTTTCAGCCTGGTCAGGGACTGACCCGTGTCCTGTAGTAGGAGGGCTCAGTTTTCCGGGGTCTTCAAGGAAATGCCATTAGAAGTGGTAGCAGAAGATGCTGGGGAGTGGTCTGGTCTTCACAGGTTGGGTTGTGTGGTTGCTGTACTTTTTCACAAATGGAACATTACAATTTTTTTTTTTTTAAGATTTTATTTATTTATTTGACAGAGATCACAAGTAGGCAGAGAGGCAGGCAGAGATGAGAGGAGGAAGCAGGCTCCCCGCTGAGCAGAGAGCCCGATGTGGGGCTCGATCCCAGGACCCTGAGATCATGACCTGAGCCGAAGGCAGAGGCTTAACCCACTGAGCCACCCAGGTGTCCCTCAACAGATTACAATTTAACTGAGACTGTGTGCTGGGTGTTTTCACGTCTGTTATCTTGTGTAATCCTCAGAGCAACCTTGTGGTATTTCTCTCTTTTTTTAAACAAACATGGTTTTAAAAAAATTTTATGAGAGAGAGCAAGAGCGTGGGAGCGGGAGCACGAGTAGGGAAGGGGCAGAAGGCATGGCAGAGCCAGAGTCTCCAGCAGACCTCCGGCTGTGTGCGGAGCCTGCCCAGGGACTCAGTCCCACAGCCCCGAAATCGTGATCTGAGCTGGAACGGAGTCGGATGCCCAACCGACTGAACAACACAGGTGCCCCTATTTCTGTTTTTCAGGTAAGAAAACCAGGGTTTAGATAGGCTAAGGAACTCACCCAAGATTAGCTTAAGTCTAGCGGGTGGGGGGCACCCTTCCATACCACGCTCGTCGGTGTGCTCGTTAGCTGGCCGCTGTTTGACCTCTCGCATCTCTGCTGGTTCGGCAGACTCCTTCCTTTGAGTAGGAAGCAGTATCTGGAATGGGTAAGCAGGGTTAGCTACTGGGGGATCTGAGTCCCCGACACTGACCGCTGTCTTGGGTTAGACAGGGATACGACTCAGAAAGGGAAAATCCAGCCTGCTGTTTTCCCTCCCCTCTCCTCCTCGTGTGGGAGCCGGACCAGGTAGTGCCGGATCTCACAGCTCTGCTTTCCTGTGATCTCACAGCTCCTTTTCACAAGTACACAGGCCCTGTGGAGGCTGAGTGTGCAGAGCTGACCTCATTTGGAGGGTAGTCAGACCGGACGGGCAGTGAAGTTGTAATACCTTCACATCTGCATAGCTTTGGGCCTAATGCGGGTCAGAGTTTTGAGGCTGTGGGAGCTCCTTGCCTTAACTCTCCGTTCTCCTCTGTGCCACCTTGTGCTCTTGGTTAGGGATGGGTATATGCAACCTTAGAATGATGCTGAAGGGAGACACAGGGTTGCCTTTCATTCCTACATCCCTTTTCCCTTGTCCTTCATCATGGGTTCTTCTCAGCACTGCAGCAGAACCTCTTCTCTGCAAGGTGTTTTATAATGACCTGTAGGGTTAGGGGGAGGTAAAATGCCTGCCTTTGTCCATTTGCCAGCATCACCGTTACTAGGAATTGAGAATTGGTTTTCCTTAAATAGTTTTGGGGTTAGTCCTAAAGTTTTAAAGGACTTGGGAAGTACTTTAGGTGGTGATAATGGAGAGGCTCACCGATTTAATATGATACACAGTTGTCAGTATCTTCTCATATTTAGTATTAAATGTTTCTTTGGAACAGGGGCCAGTGACTAAGGTCTCCTTAGAACATTGAGCATGTGTTGGCCTTTGAAACTGGAGTGCCTCTGTGGTGGACTTCAGTGCACCTGTCTCCACCTTGGTTTGTCCAGAGGCTCAATTTGGCCTTTTGTTCTTTCCTTTCCTCACACTCATTTTTTTAAATTTGCCTTTAGCTTTTGAGGGGACAGATTTTATGTATGTATTTGACAGAGCAAGAGAGCACAAGGAGGGGAGGAGCAGAGAAAGAGGGAGAAGCAGGCTCCCAGGTGAGCAGGGAGCCTGAGGTGGGACTCAATTCCAGAATCCTGGGATCACGACCCAAGCGGAAAGCAGACGCCCAACCCACTGAGTCATTGGGAAACAAATCCAAGATAAATCCAAGATAAATCACTTCATCTGCAAATTACTTTATATATATGTCTATGAGGGAAGGATTTTTTTTTGACATAGCCATGATGTAATACCAAAAATACTAGTAGTAATTCTTCAGTGTAATAAAATATTCATTGTTTAAACTGTCTCATAAATTCCTTTTTATAACTGGTTTGTTCAAATCAGTGCTCAGACAAGCACCACACATTGCATTTGATTGATAAGCTTCTTTAACTTTTTTAAAGATTTATTTATCCATTTTATTTTATTTTATTTATTTTTTTAGATTTTATTTATTTATTTGAGAGAGAATGAGTGAGAGAGAGCATGAGAGAGGAGACAGTCAGAGGGAGAAGCAGACTCCCCAAGGAAGTGGGAGCCCGATGTGGGACTCGATCCTGGAAGTCCGGGATCATGACCTGACCCGAATGCAGTCACTCAACCAACTGAGCTACCCAGGCGCCACTATTTATCCATTTTAGAGAGAGCAGAGGGAGGGGCAGAGAGAGTCTTAATCAGACTCCTTGCTGAGCACGTAGCCCAAAGTGGAGCTCAGTCCTGCAACCTGAGATCATGACCTGAGCTGAAGCCAAGAGTTGGTTGCTCAACTGACTGTGCCACTCAGATGCCCCATTATGTTTCTTTAATTTAAAAAAAAAATTATTTATTGAGAGAGAGAGAGAGAGAGAGAGAGCATGAGTGGGATTAGGGACAGAGGGAGAAGCAGGCTCCCTGCTGAGCAGGAAGCCCTACGTGGGTCTCGATCTCAGGACCCTGAGATCATAACCTGAGCTGAAGGCAGAGGCTTAACCCACTGAGCCACCCAGGTGCCTCAGTGTTTCTTCAATTTTTTTTCAAAGATTTTATTTATTTGACAGAAAGATACACAGCAAGAGAGGGAACACAAACTGGGGGAGTGGGAGAGGGAGAAGCAGGCTTCCTGCCCAGCAGGGAGCCTCATTCCGGGCTGGATCCCAGGACCCTGGGATCACAACCTGAGGGGAAGGCAGCCCCTTAATGACTGAGCCACCCAGGTCCCCTTCCTTTAATTTTTTTTAACAGCTTTTTATTTTGAAATAATTTCAAGCTGGGGCTCATGAGTAGCTCAGGTGTTAAGCGTCGTCTGCCTTCAGCTCAGGTCATGATCCCAGAGTCCTGGGATTGAGCCCCACACCGGGCTCTCTGCTTGGCGGGGAGCCTGCTTCTCCCTCTCCCACTCCCCCAGCTTGTGTTCCCTCTCTCACTGTCTCTCTGTCAAATAAATAAATCTTTAAAAAAAATTATTTCAAGCTTAGAGAAATTATAATATGTAGAACTCTCACAGGCTTCACCCGGACTCAGCAGTTACGAACACTGTTTCTCTGCACAGACACGGTTTCAGCCTTTTGAGAGTCAGTTGCCGCCGTGAGGGTTTCCATACTTCGTTGTCTATTTCCTGAGAACAGAGATCGTCAGTTAACGGAATTGCTGCTCTGTTTTCCGGACTGGGCGTTCAGCTGCGATGTGCTGCTGTTACAGAACATGCTCTGATGTTAGCGCTTGTCCCAGGAACGTCCATGTAGCAGTCCAGGATCACAAGTTGAGTTTAGATGCGCTCTTGACCCTGAAGCAGATTCTTAATCTTCCTTTGTCTTTCATGACCTTAAACACTTTGACAGGTCAGTTATTTTGTAGAATATTTTTCATATTGGGTTGTCTGAGATTTCTTCCGTGGTTAGATTAAGATGATTCATTTTTTGGCCAGAAAACCGTACAAGTACTGTTCCAGCCTCTTCAGGGCACCCTACTGAGGCATATGCAGTGTCAGGAGTCCGTATGTCTCCCTGTTCGGGATGTTAATTTTGATCACTTGGTTAAGGTGGTACCCTCCAGAATTTCCTGCAGTTACTCTTTTTCCTGTGTATTAAGTATTTCGAACCCACATAAATATCCCCTTGTGCAGTATCACCTCTGGTTTAGTACCTGTTGGTGACCTTTCCCTGAATCATTTTTTGCTCCTCTTGTTCCTTAGGGATTTATTAGTTGGCATTCTGCTATAAGGCAGAGCTTTCCCTTCTTTATTATGTGTGTACCTATTAGTTTGGATTCTTATTTTATTCAATGGGTTATAAACTCTTTTTTTTTTCCTTCCAGTAAGCTCTACACCCAATATGGGGCTTGAATTTATGTCCCCTTGAATTTATGAGATCAAGAGTCACATACTCTAAGGGCTGAGCCCCCCCCCCCCCCCCCCCGCCATGGGCTATAATCTTAATCCTCTTTTATTTTTTTTTAAGATTTTATTTATTTATTTATTTGACAGAGATCACAAGCAGGCAGAGAGGCAGGCCGAGAGAGACAAAGGGAAGCAGGCACCCCACTGAGCAGAGAGCCCGATGCAGGACTCAATCCCAGGACCCTGGGATCATGACCTGAGCCGAAGGCAGAGGCTTTTTTTATTATTTTTTTTTTTTTTTTTTAAATTCAAACCTAGGCAATTTAGGGTTTGGGGCAACATTTTTTTTTTTTTTTTTTATTTTATTTTATTTATTTATTTGACAGACAGAGATCACACGTAGGCAGAGGGGCAGGCAGAGAGAGAGAGAGGAAGGGAAGCAGGCTCCCTGCTGAGCAGAGAGCCCGATGCGATGCGGAGCTCGATCCCAGGACCCTGAGATCATGACCTGAGCTGAAGGCAGAGGCTTTAACCCACTGAGTCACACAGGCGCTCTTAATCCTTTTTTAATAGTGGGTTTCCCCCTCCCTACTTTTTTCCCTTGCGATTTGTGGAAGAATCCGGTTACCTGTCATGGTTTCTACCCTTTGGACTTAGCTGATTATATCCGGTGTAACTTTACTTTAAATTGGTAGTTAGATTTAGAGGTATGATGAGGTTTAAATTTCTTTTTTTTAAAGATTTTTAAAATTTATTTGACAGAGAGCAAGAGAGGGAACACAAGCAAGGGGAGTGGGAGAGGGAGAAGCAGGCTTCCCACTGAGCAAGGAGCCAGATGTGGGGCTTGATCTCAAGACCCTGGGACCATGACCTGAGCCGAAGGCAGACGCTTAATGACTGAGCCACCCAGGCACCCTGGTTTTTGGGGTCAGAAATACTTTATAGGTGATGGTATGACACACTCTGAACTTTGTCTCACCCCTTCACAGAGGTTAGAAAGGTGCATGAGCATTGTGACATCGATGACTGCTGGCGTCTCAGAGAGGGACGCCAATGACGCCCTCAATGCTCACGTGAGTATAACGCTCTCCCCTGCCCGTTACCCCTGCGCTGGAAGCTTTGAGATGTGACCCAAAACATAGGACTTACGTGGCTGGGAATTAGGGGACTGAAGTGCATATCTCGACTCCCCGAACCAGACTTCCCAGCTCCTCTTTCTGTCTCACTGTGGGAGTCCAGCCCTTGGAGCTTATGTGTCTTTAAGTCACAACTTTTAAAAATAACTCTTAGTTCTGTAGTGACCTTTTTTCTTTGCAAATTATTCTCACATATTTGATCCTTTACGTTTCCTTTTTTTTTTTTTTTTTTTGGTAGGGTGGGAGGGGCAGAGGGGGAAGGAAAGAGACACTCTTAAGCAGGCTCCACGCCCAGTACAGAGACCCATGCAAGGGCTTGATCTCATAACCCTGAGGTCAGGACTAAATCAAGAGTCAGAGCCAAAGTCCAGTCAGATGCTTAACCAGCTAAGCCAGCCAGGTGCCCCATGACCTTTTATGTTTCCTAATCTGTGATATTGAAAGGATTTTAAATAGTTAGTACAGGTAAAGTTCTCAGTAATTCCAGGCACATAGTGAATGCTTAGTATTTCCTTTTTATTAGTAGTATATTATATTTGTTGTCTTCACCTTACAAATACCACGGACTCAATGATTTGCCTAAGGTCTTGACTTGATATGTATATCCGTTACACCGTGAACGGTTCTGCAGCTCCCTCCCTCTTGAAGGCTATTAAGGTCTGGTAAAGGTGGTACGGTGGGATTTTTTTTCTGCTTTATTTATTATTTTTTTTTAAATTTTCTTTTCTCTAAATATGTATTTATTTATTTTGAGAGAGAAAGCGTGCACACACGCGAGTTGTGGGAGGGGCAGAGGCAGAGAATCTTTCAGGCAAACTCCACCTTGAGTGTGGAGCCTGATGCAGCTGGATTCCATGAGATTCCATGAGATCTCATGAGATTGTGACCTGAGCCAAAACCAAGAGTGGGATGTTTAGCCAACTGAGCCACCCAGGTGCCCTTAAAGATTTTATTTTGTTTTATTTTTTTTTAAGGATTTTTATTTATTTATTTGTCAGAAAGAGAAAGGAAGAGAGCGAGTGCACAAGCAGGGGGACCAGCAGGCAGAGGGAGAAGCAGGCTCACTGCTGGGCAAAGAGCCTGATGCGGGGGCTCGATCCCGGGGATCATGACCTGAGCCAAAGGCAGATGTTTAACCAGCTGAGCCACCCAGACATCCCAAAGATTTCATTTTATTTATTTACTTATTTATTTATTTTATTTTATTTAAAATTTTTAATTTATTTGTCAGAGAGAGCACAAGCAAGGGGAGCAGCAGGCAGAGGGAGAGGGAGAAGCAGAAGGAGAATAAAGATTTTATTTTTAAGTAATCTCTACCTCCACTGTGGAGCTTAAACCCACAACCTAAGATCAAGAGTTGCACACGCCACTGACTTACCTCCAGGTGTCCCTTTTTTCCCATTTTAAATAGTCTTTAGGGCCACATGGGTGGCTCAGTCAGTTGGGTGGGCGCCCTTGACTTAGGTCATGATCCTGGGGTCTTGGGATCCAGCGCTGCATCAGGTTCCCTGCTCCGCAGGAAGCCTGCTTCTGCCTCTTCCTCTGCCGGCTGCTCCCTCTGCTTGTGCTATCTGTGTGTCAAACAAATAAGTAAAATCTTTTTGTTTTTTTTTTTTTAAGATTTTTTATTCATTTATTTGACAGACAGAGATCACAAGTAGGCAGAGGCCCGCAGAGAGAGGAAGGGAAGCGGGCTCCCCGTTTGGCAGAGAGCCCGATGTGGGACTCGATCCCAGGACCCTGAGATCATGACCTGAGCTGAAGGCAGAGGCTTAACCCACTGAGCCAGCCAGGCGCTCCACCTCTCTCCGGAAACAGACGCTTCATCGCCTTTAGGAGAAGGAGATCATCAGAAGAGTTAATGATTCTCCTTTGTGGATTACTCAGGAGTCCCAAGTTTTCTGGGAGAAACTGTGCTCAAGAACTTTCCTCCTGTGAGAGACAACTAGTTTTTTTCCTTCCTCATATCCTAGGTATGCAAAGGCCCCCCCCAGCATGAGGAAATCTGCCTGGGCCTCTTCACCCTTGTCCTCACTGAACCTGCCCAAGCTCAGAAGGTAAGACTCCCTCCTCTGGACCCACAGACTCCCCTCAGATGGTCTGAGGATACAGTGGGACTCAAAGATTTGCTGTCATAATGCCAAACCCGTTGACCAGAGCTCGATCACCTTGTTGTCCTGATAAGCTTACAACTCTATTTTTATTTTCAATAAATTGGTCATTCTGACTCAGATCCTTTCTCTATCTAGATTCTGAAGCTAAAGGGCAAGAAAAGCATTTGTGAGATGGAAAAGCATCTGAAGTGTTGTACATTGTAGATTGATGGGTCAAGGTTATGAGAGTTGGAATTTAATCCAGAGAAGAGAGCAAGTACAACCAAGTCCATTGCGAGTTCTTATCCAGAAGAGCATGACCTCTAGTTTGCAGGTTCTGTCATTGGCAGGTGGATAGAAAGTAGGCTTAACATTGTAGCACATAGGATTTAACAGCTTAATGTTGATGATTGATGTAGCCGTGGTGTAGTGATCAAGAGGACCCTAGAACCGACTGGAGCCAGATTTCCTCAGGAATACTGTGTAAAAACTAGGCTGGGGTCTTCACAGCCAGGAGAGTGTCCTTTATGTGGAATGGTTAAAGTGGGATCCTTGCCTGGGGTGAGGGATTGGGAAGGATGTTCTCTTTGGATTCCACTCTTTCCATAATAAAGCAGCGAAATTCTGTCTTTTCCTCTCCAGATTTACCTTTTCCAGCAGTTCTGTGTCCTGGGACCCTTGGGGCAATGGGTTAGAAGTGTATGACCGGTAGCTGGCATTAACTGTATGACATTAACAGAGAGGAGCTGCGGAAATTCAGTATTGTTACTGGCCCTTCCTTGAACAAGCGTGGAAGGAGATGCACGTGCTCTGAGCCCGGCATTGTGTTGGGCTCCATCCAGACAAGATCTCATTTAATCCTCTCAGAAGATTGGTGACTTTGTCCCCTCTTTCCATACTGCTCCCAGTTTACCTATAAGATAACTGGAGATCAGAGACATTATCATCTGTTCAGGGAGAGTCAAGAAAATCATCCCCAGGGCCAAGGACAGGATGGCCATGCCTCCTCTGGCATTGAGTTCACCTCAGGGGAAGATATGTGGGCATGGCAACCTGAGGAGTTTGTTGTCCTCTGATGCCAGCTGTGGAAGTGTCCGGGATGAGGGTAGGTGGTAGAACAGCAGGTGCTCACTGGTCCTTAGGGTCCCAGGCCATTTCTGGGCTGGGACCTTGGTGCGTTAATTTGACATTTCATTTCATACTGGATTTATCGCCAAGATCCTTGAAGACAAATGAATGTCTACAATTTGGAGCTTCCAGTCTAGCTACTCTGTTTAAAAGAAATGGTTGGATGGGGCGCCCAGGTGGCTCCGTCATCAAGCGTCTGCCTTCGGCTCAGGTCATGATCCCAGGGTCCTGGGATGGAGCCCAGCATTGGACTCCCTGCTCAACGGGAAGTCTGCTTCTCCCTCTCCCACTCCCCCTGCCTGTGTTCCTCTCTCGCTGTGTCTCTCTCTGCCAAATAAATAAATAAATGGTTGGCAAAGACTTTTATAAATAAATTTAAAATCTCATGTAGTCACCTTAGTGCAGATATGTGTATCCTGCTGGGTTTATGGTGGGATCTTCGTCAGCTGGGGTGAACCCCTAACCCTCGTGAAGGAGGCAGAGGGCGCGTGGTGTTTCTATGTCTTTGTCTAGCCTGGCAGTGAAAGGTCATAGCGCTCTCCACTGCAAAGGCTTATGAAGTCACGAATTTGGCCATGTAGGCGTGGCAGGGTACTAGAGCGTGGCAGGGTACTAGGTATTTATTTGACAGAGAGATACACGGCGAGAGAAGGATCACAAGCAGGGGGAGTGGCAGAGGGAGAAGCAGGTTTCCCACTGAGCAGGGAGCCCCTAGTGTGGCTCAATCCCAGGACCTTGGGATCCTGACCTGAGCTGAAGGCAGCTGCCTAACGACTGAGCCCCCCAGGCACCCTGGCACTTTGTCTTTTTAACCTGGGACAGCCCCGTGAGGGTGGCCCAGGCCCTTCCTTTCCTTGGACCTCATAGCTGGTTAACACCTGTACCAGGATTGTGTTCACACACGAGCTGTTTCCAAGTAAATCCCCTCCCCAGAGTGTATGAGGCTGACAGGCCCCTGTCAGGGCTCTTCAGACAAAGCAGTGGAGTTGGGGGTTTGGAGGACAGCTGAGGGTTAAGCTCCCGGGCATCTGGCTGGTGGTAACTCATTGAGAGACTTTGAGCCAAGTCAGAGTATGGGAAGGATTAGTGACCTGTCTATGAGGTGCTTTGATCCTTCTCCGTAAAAGGGTGATTATCTTGTGAAATCCTTCTGTCTTGCAGAAGGTTCAGGTAGGAGTTACTGGTAAAGACGGATTCTGGTGCATTGTTTTTGGCTTGACTTAAAACAAGGGAAGTGTTTAAGAGTTTGTTTGGGGTTGACTCTGTGTCTAGACCAGAAACCTCAGGGCGGAGCAGAGACCTGGTCTCTCGGTCTTCTCGGCCCAGGAGGACTGGTGGAAGTGGGACGAGTCTTGAGCACATTACAACCCGCTCTGGGGAAGCAGGAGCTGGAGAGCCTCCGCCTGCACCGCGAGAAGGTTCAGACGCCGCGGCCAGCTCTCTAGGACTTGGCGGTGGCGCAGGGGTGGGTTGGATGCGAGCCCTCAGTGAAGGACAAAGCAGGCTGGGTTTTGGGGGAGAGTGGAACGTGCATGGGGTGGGTTTTGTTCTAGTTGTACCTTTTTAACTTTCATCTGCTGTCTTGCGGTTTTTGAGTTTGTTTTCTGTTTGATGTCTGAGCTGAGTAGCTGGGAGCAGGCCGTTTGGGGGCCGTGGGGCTGTAGGAGGCCAAGTAGCCAGGCTCTAGCAGTTAGAGGAAAGGACAAGGTCGAGCATCAGTGAGAAGGTCCTTTTTCATCAAAGAGTCAAGGACCCAGCCTTGGGAGTTGTTGATCACAAAGGTAGGTCGGAGGCTGCGTGGGCCTAGGCTGGAGAATCGCGCCTGCCAGCGGTTGGGGCAGAAGCACTATCTCCCTGCCGTCCAGCCACCTTTCCTTTCTTTTGAGACTCTCTGCTTCTCTTCCGTGTTCCCCACTGAGTTGTTTGGTTTGGTTTCTTTTTTCCCCACCTACTTCTCTTTCAAGCCACTCAGAAAACTGGCACAGAGGTTGGGGAGGCAACTGGAGGCATCAGGATGCGGTCCCTGGTGCTGAGCTGCGTGTTAGCAGCACTGTGGCCGAGAAGGTCCCACGTGGCCTGTGGGATTCGGCAGACCATCTCTGCTCTCTTCGTCTGTCCCCCGTGTCTCCTGAGAGACTTGTCCTCTTTCCCTGTCCGGGATCTATTCTGCATTTCTGCTTCTGATTGAACAGACAGGGCTCCTCTCTGGTGAGTCTGGTCTCTGTCTTTGTCCTGACATAGATTTTCCTTCTGCCTCTGCCCCCCTCCTCTTCTCTGCCCCCCTTCTCTGCCTCTGCCCCCTGTTCTTCTCTGTCCCCTCCTCTTCTCTGCACCCCCTTCTCTGCCTGTCCTGTAAGTCAGACCTCCAGAGGAGGCTCCAGGGCTGAACCCCGTTTTATTGACTGGCTTGTCGGCAGTGGTTCCCTGGGTGGCCTTACGCATCTCTTACTCCCTTGCTTGTACTTCTTGATCTCAGGTGGAGTCAGAGGAGAATCGAATCCTCCTCTGGGTATGAAGAGTTCATGGCCTGTGAGGGATCTCTGAGTGTTTGTGTTTTTATCAGGTCACACATTTGACTTAGGGCAGTAGAGGCAAGAGAAAGTAACAGTAGTTAACCTCTCAGGAGCCCTTTCTCACCCCCAGGCCAGAGAGTAGGAGCACTTTTCTTCGAACACAGAGGAGGAAGGCACTCAGGAGTACGGTCTCTCAAAGCCACCTGGCACCGCCCCCTCGCTCCCTGGGAGCCGCTTCTCCTTGCCGCTGTTTGTGGTGCTGGTGCGGAGGTGTCAGGAGCATGGGAGTCTGGAATGGGACCACCTGGACTTGGGTTCTGGTTCTTCCTACCTCTTCAGTGACCTGGGCCGAGTTACTTACCCTCTTAGCCCTGTTTCTTCATCTGTAGGAATAAAGGCAGCGGTGCCTGGTACCTATTTCAGAGGGTGGTTGTGGGGTTCAAGTGCAGCCACGTGTGCTGGCGCGACCCCAGGGCGTGTTGGCTTATCGCAGGTGCCACTATTGCTGCTGCCTTGGGTTTTCCCAGGCTGTGGGGCGACACCCACCTGCTTTTCCCCTTCCAGCGGAGACCCTGATAACGTGGACCTCCGCAGGCCAGTGAGGCCACCGGACACATTCCTCCAGATGTCTAGTCTCTGGAGAGCCAGGGTGAGAGCCCTCTTAGGGGAAGGGGAGCAGGAGCGCTCCAAGAAGGTCGGCATGCCGTCCCTCACCTCTTCCAGGGTTGGTTGTGCTTAAGGACCCCTTCCTTTTCAGGGCCTGGCAGAAGCAAAGGGCAGCCCAGAGAAAAGAAGAATGATGTTTAGTTAAGGAGGTTCAGTTTTGTCCTGCCCCTTCTTTCTGGGGCCTGGTCCCCAGTCCGCTTCCCTAATACTCCTAGCTCTTTGCTTCATCTGTCTGAGTGAGTACAGGTCTGAGAACCTCTTTGGGGTCCTTTCTGGTCTGTCAGCCAGACCCATTCTGCAGTGACCTTCCCAACAGGTGGAAGGCAGACGGGCTCCACCTGGGTCCTCTCCGTTTGTGACATGAAACAGTGCAGCACTTTTTCAGGAGGGAGGTAGGGGAACAAGGCGGCTTTCTTAGCAGGCTTTTCTGCCTTCTTAGAGAGTAGCTCCACTTCTTCTCTTCACCCTGTGTGACAGGGCCAGGGGTGGGTTTGGGATGGAGGAGCCCCGTAGAAGGTCTTTCATTGTCATCTGAGTCCCGTGGGTGGCATTTAAGAGGAAGGGGGAGCCTATCCTCAGTTGGCCAGCTGCTCACGAGTCTTCCTTCTCACAGTGCTACCGGGACTTGGCTCTGGTGAGTCGTGATGGCATGAATATTGTCCTGAATAAGATCAACCAGATACTCATGGAGAAGTACCTGAAATTGCAGGACACCTGCCGTACTCAGGTGAGGCCAGGAGAAGGGACGTCCAGCTCAGAGACACACCAGACCATGGGCTCTGTCTCCTTCAGGGGAGGGAGGGAGGAATCGGGGGTAACACACCCCTGCCTTTGTACACCTAAACGGTAATGCGGTTCACCCCTTACTCAGAGATCCTTCTCTTCACCTGCCTTTTCCTCTGTCTTTCAGTTGGTGTGGTTGGTACGGGAACTAGTGAAGAGCGGCGTCCTGGGGGCCGATGGCGTCTGCATGACGTTCATGAAGCAGATTGCCGGTGAGTTTGGGGACAAGTGCATAAAGAAGAAAGGAGAGGATGGGGCGCCCGGGTGGCTCAGTGGGTTAAGCGGCTGCCTTCGGCTCAGGTCATGATCCCAGAGTCCGGGGATCGAGTCCTGCCTCGGGCTCCCTGCTCAGCGGAGAGCCTGCTTCTCTCTCTGCCTCTGCCTGCCTCTCTGCCTGCTTGTGCTCACTCTCTCTCTCTCTCTCTGTGTCAAAAAAAGAAATTAAATCTTTAATTAATAAATAAATAAATAAGTAAATAAAAAGAAGAAGAAAGGAGAGGAGCCCGAAGGCTACATGGGGGCAATGGAGAAGGATTAAGTGCCTGGGCGTCTCCATTCCTGGGTTGTTGCTCGACTCTTTCCTTCTGGGACAGGCCTCTTCTGAGAGAAAGAAATGAAAAACTCACATGGGGTCTTTTGAGGCAGTACATCTGCCTTGTTCCTGTTTCTGCCAAACAGGGCCTGACATAGAACAGTTGGCCTCTTTTAACCAGTCCTCACTCTGGGGTTTCATGGCGTGTTGGATCTGGAAGTATCCAGAAGGAATGGGAAGAGAAATGAGGGCAGATCATTTGTTCCCATTACATTATGCTTTCAGAAACCCGACATCTTCCTGGGCTCCACCCCAGGTTTGAACACTTGCTTCCAAATATTTATGACATCTGATGGGAACCGGTTTGAGAGAGGGACTGTGTCACAGAAGAGACCCTGACATTTAGGTTTTGTTAACTCCTTGGCATCAGCGACATCTGTCTGAGCCTCAGATATCCAAGAGGCCTGCCTGTACTACCTCTTCTGCTCCCAAGAACACATGTGTCTGTTTAAAACTGGCTCTACTTCGCCATCTCCCTGTTCCCATTGGTTCTCGGCTTCCTCTTCGGGATTCCTGTGACACTGGTGGTCCTGTTCTGATGTGCATGACCCTCCAGACAGTGTGGACACTGACTTTTTAAATGAGGGCTGGAGAGCAGGCGTAGTGTTGTTCTGGCTCTTTTCCCTCCTGGCATTTCCTCCCCAGTCTGGTCCTCGGTGTCCTCTTCTCACCCTCATACTCTGGTCTGGCATTGCCACACGTTCCTTCTGCCCCACGGAGTGCCACCGCCAGCACGAAGACCAGGATACCTGGAAGCAGGAAACTCTGGGCCTGTCATGAGCCTGACTTGGGATTTGAGTTACTCCAGTGCTAGAGTGCCACCGTCACTGGACACCTGCACCACAGGCCCTATCTGAGATGTCACCCTTTCTTCCAGCCAGGCCTTCTTCACGGGGTCAGGGTATTCTTGCTCCAACCCCCAGTCTGTGGAAAAGTAGCAGCTCTGGTTTCTGGAAATATCGAGAATTTCCCTTCCTTTCTCTGAGGACGCAAAGGGGGAACTCTAAAGCCTGACTGAACAGAAGGCAGTTTTTCCAACACTTGGAACCTCTGTAACAGGATAACAGGGATGGAGAAACAGGATGGGTGAGGAAATGTGTGGGATTAGCTGAGTCGCTAATCGGAGCCATTCTTCTTCTGTTTTCTTCCCCTTTGAAATCAGGTGGCGATGTTACTGCAAAAAATATCTGGTTGGCAGAGAGTGTCCTGGATATCTTGACGGAGCAGAGGTAGGGTCTGCCACGACAGGAGCACGTGTGGGTGTCGGGGTGTAAGGACTGACAGGTGGCCTGAGAACAGCTGGGGTTAGAACGGGTGAGGTGGGGGAGGGAGAGGCAACCGAAGGAATCGATGCCCTGATCTGGCCCAAAGGGATGAGGGGTGGGAAAGAAGGGCTTTGCTGAAATACTTCAGAGCCCGGGAAAAGCTGGTTTCATCTGATAAGGGTTTATTTTTGATCCAGACCTCCTTGGAATGTTTATCTTTGGGGGGAGGTGGGGGAGAATGACCTCAGCAGAGTGGGACCAGCCCGTGGCCCCGGCCTGGCAGGTACCCCTTTTCTCCCTTTCGAGGCTCTCCACCCAATCCCCAGACCCCTTCGCTGAAGCGGCAGGGGCCGCGGTGGGAGGCCGAGGTAACTGGCCTGGGAATACAGCTCAAATCTGCACACTGGGTTGGGAGGCTGCAGTGGTAGAAGGCATAAGGGGGTGCGTGGGTATTCTGGCTAATTCTTTCCCTTTCCCGTCGAAGTACAGAACCAGAGATCTGGTCCAGTGGCCTCGCTCTCTGTTGCTTGACTTCTGAGTCGGTTTCTTTGCGAGGCCACCACCGTAGTCAGATGACTGAAAGGGCTGCAAGTGGCCGTGTGTCCTGTGGTTCAGGACAGACCTCCTCCCTCCTTCACACTTGCCCTGGGCCCTGGCCTAGCTGAGGCCTAGGTCAGGAGCCTTGCAGCGCCACCTAGCGTCCCAGGCACAGCTCGCTGCCACCGCCCAACCTGGGAGATTGCAGCAGAGTCCGGCGGGGTCTCTGCCTTCCTAGTGTCCAGGTCGATGGTTTCACTTTCTTTCTCTCTCCGTGATCCCATCCCTGGATTCAGATACACTCATCACCTCTGCTCACAGAAACTGATTTTCCTCATTTGGGCAGTTAACGTGGTCTCCATGCATGTGTTAGATAACCGCCCTACCTTTTCTCCTGCCCTCCAAAAACTCAGGTCCCTTGGTGCAAGTGAGTCCCTAGATGTTGGGGGCTGCCTTCCTGTACAGCCTCCCTCCTTCCCTCCCCCACGTTTCTAGGGCCTCGGCGTTGATAGGGAGCGGGTTGGGGAGGGCCTGCTGTGTCCTTGGCTACTGTGTTCATTCTGTGAAAGGAAAAGACCAGTCTTTGAATTAGGTGGCTTGAGCACTCTTCCGGAATCAGGATGTTGCCCAGTTGGATTAATTAAACTCCTTGACTCCTTGCTTCCCAGCAGGGGTGCCAGGCCTCGCAGCTACTTGCCTGGGGGCGCGCCTCCCCATTCTGGTGCTTGAAGCAGTATTGAGAGTTTTTGTCATCTCCTCACTGTCTTCAGCCTTATTTTTATTTCTATTTTTTTTAAGGTTTTACTTGTTTATTTATTTGAGATAGAGGGCACAAGAGCAGAGGGAGAAGCAGTCTCCCCATTGAGCAGGCAGCGGATGTGGGGCTCAAACCCAGAATCCCAGGATAGTGACCTAAGCCAAAGGCAGGTGCCTAGCCTGCTGGGCCACCCAGCACGCCCTCCCCCCCACCCTGTTCACAGCAGCAGGGAATACACCGTTCCTTCACTACCCTCTTTCCCCCATGGAAGTTCTAAAACTCCTGGGAAAGTAGGCTTTGCCATCCACAATCGTGTTTTTCTTTTCAGACTGTGGTTTAGGGCAGGTGCCTCATTGTCTGTGAGTGGGAGCAGTGGCCAGAGGGAGGTCCAAGGAAAGGCGTGTAGCATGGTGGGCCTCTGACGATAGGCACAATGGCAGGGCTGACATGGTGTGTCCTAAAACCTCCAGGGTCCTCAAAGGGTCTTACCCCCTGACGGTCCTCATGCCACACTGTAAGAACTGCTGACTTAGGGATGCCTCTAGACCCTCTCTCCCCTGCTCTCTGAGCTGGAGGAAGCTGCGGTGTGCTCTCCGGCCCCGGCCCTGCACACGGCGCTAGGCGGTGATGGGCGCTCAGTGCTTGAGCACTGAACCATTGAGCAGTTGGTCAGTGGGAAAGAGAGGTTGCTTTCCTCCGGTGCTTGTCTCTGTTGGGAGCCTGAAGGAGCAGTGGGAGATTGTCACTCCCATAGGCAGTTGATGGTCCAAGATAGGTAGTAAGCAGGCATTCAGGGAATCCAAGAGCCTCCTCCCAGTGCTAATCACCGGGCATCGCTGAGGCCCCGGAGCCACACATGGGAGTGAACAGGGAGCGGGAACGGGCCGGGCAGAGCCCCAGTGCCAGGTGCCCCCCCATTCTGCAGGGAGTGGGTGCTGAAGAGCGGCATCCTCATCGCCATGGCTGTTTACACGTACCTTCGCCTCATCGTGGACCACCACGGGACCGCCCAGCTCCAGGCCCTGCGCCAGAAGGAGGTGGACTTCTGCCTGTCACTGCTGCGGGAACGGGTGAGGAGGAAACTGGGCTGGGACACCTGTGTGAGTTCTGGGAGGTGACGTAGGCCAAGAGATGCCATTTCAGAGAGAGAGGTGGTTCAAGGCCTGGTGCTTTGTCATCATTCTGAGACAGAGGAAGGGGGGAGGTGGGGAATCCGGGCAGAGTAGCCCGGCCTCCTAGAGGGGCTGCCTGTTGGGCTGGCATCCTAGGGGTTTTGCTGGTCAGTGTCGTAGACGCTCTGGCACACCACAGACGGAAGCTGCCGCTGTTCTCTCGTCCTCCCCGCCTGCCTGCCTGCGTGATGGCTGTGGTCAGGTGGGCACTGTCCACTGTGAAATCTCCTGAGAGAGATCCCAGAGCTGTGGTCTCTACTCTGGTAGCCACTCCCCATATGTGGCCATTTAAATTAAAGTTAAGTAAAATTAAACAAAATTTTAAAAACTCAGTTCCTTAGTTGACTTAGCCACGTGTGGCTAATGGTGATCCTTTTGGACAGCATAGAAATGGAGATCTTTTCCATTATCACAGATTGTTCTATTGGACTGGGGAGTGGTTGGGGAAAGGTGTCTGGGGCTCAGCTTGCCTGTCCTGTCCTTTTGGAATGGCCTCTCTCGATCTGGGTCTTAGCCCTTCTGCGAGGGGAGGGGAATAGATTCGTGTGGAAGCTGGCAGGCTTCAGTCATTCTCAACAGCCTGTCCTCCTGAGGTCCGTCCCCAGCCTCCAGTGCTCTTCCCCTTTGGTTCCAGAAGAAACCCTCTTGTTCCTGGGACCCTCTTTCCTTCCTTCCCTAGAACAAGCTGCTCCTTGGTCCTCCCTGCAGCCGGTAAACAGTCTGTGTTTTTCTTCTCTCCTGTCCCTCCTCCCCCCATCAAGTTCATGGAATGTTTGATGATTGGCCGGGACCTCGTGAGACTACTTCAGAATGTTGCTAGGATACCAGAGTTCGAGCTGCTTTGGAAAGATATTATCCACAACCCGCAGGCCTTAAGTCCCCAGTTCACAGGTAAGTACGAAGCCGGGCTCCCTGCCCTTGGGAGCTGGGAGGTCAGTGGATGTGTGCTGAATGAGCACAGAGGGTGGAGGCCAGAGGGTAGGAGAGGCTTAGGCAGCCGAATACAGAAAGCCTGGGACAGGGCAGGCCCTGCCAGGTACAGCTGCATGTGGCAATGGCCAAGTGGAGCATAATTCACGGGACTCCGATAGCTCCTGCTTGGCAGACCCCGGCTGCCGTTGCTCCTAAGAAAAACTGAGCCGGGGCTGTGGACCTCCCTGCAGCTCTTCAGCTTGGGAGGTGATGACCCACTTCTTAGCCTCACCGAGGCCAGCAGGGGAGTCAGAGGTCAGCTCGTGAGACTGAGTCAGCAGAGGGGCTGGGATTAGCCTTGGGAGAGAATGCTTCTCCCAGGGAGCAGTCTTGCCTCTGACTTATGAGGATCCAACTTAGCCAGAATTCTCTTCAGGGGAGGGAGTCTCCGTGTGCCTCTCCCTGACAAGGGCCTTCTGACAGCTCTTTCCCCTTCTCGGGGTCCCCACCCCACCTGTACGTGTGTATCTGCAGATTCGTGTGTGTGCCTGTACACGGGTGTGCGCATGGAAGCAGCTTTCTGGGTCCTGGAGTGTCAGGAAGGAGAGGACAGGCCTGGTTCCCCCTTATGTCGTGTTGCTCTCATATTGAACATGTGTTGAGTTGTTTTAAGCGCTTACTGTGTGCTAGACACATGCATGTTAACTCTTTCAATCCTCAGGACAACCCTGTAAAATGGGTATTTTACTTTCCGTATTCACAGATAAAGAAAATGAGGTTCAAGGAGATTAAGTAATTTGCCCAAGGCCACACAGCTAGTGAGTGTCAGAGGCAGGATTTGGATCCAGGTCTGTCTGACTCCAGAGCCCGTGCCTTATACCACAACACCACATTGATCCCAGGACCCAGGGATGGGACCATCAGGAGCAGGAAGGGAGGCTAGGGTTTCCCCTGTTTTCCCCCTAACTTTCCTACATGGTGCCAACTGGAATACTGTGAGTAGGGGGCTCCAGATGGCCAGAAGCAGAAGAGAAGTAATATACCTGGGTCCTGGGGATGGGGGTTGGCAGATGCTGGATAGAACCCCCGACTCGCATCTGTGCTTGACCTCTCTTGGTCTTGTTGTCGAATTTCCCCAAGAGCAAGACCACTGGCCATCAGAACTTGGCCCAGGTTCCCCACCTGCCTTCTTTCCTTCTAGTCCTCAGGCTTCCCTCTTTCTCTTCCCTTACACACTTGGTTCAGGTATCCTGCAACTTCTTCAGTCAAGAACATCCAGAAAATTCCTAGCATGTCGACTAACCCCAGACATGGAAACTAAGCTCCTCTTCATGACCTCCCGGGTAAGCTAAGCTTTTGCAGCAGAACAGAAGCTGCAGCTCGGCTGGGCTTCTTCCTGCAGCCTGTAGATGCCTTTCCTCCAAGTGCAGACCAGCAGAGTGGTCAGGTGGGGACCCAGTCTGCCTGGCACCGGGCAGGATGCTGCAGTCTGGGAATACAGGGTTGAGTAAAAGACGTGCATCTAGCTCAAGCGCTTGTGAAGCTTCCAGTGTGTCTAAAACTGTCATTAAACCAATAATCGTACACAAATTATGGAATTTACAAGTGTGGAACATGCTCTAGAAGAGTAGAGTGTTTGTTCTGGGAAGGCCCCTGTTCCTCTGGCTGCCCTTGAACTCTGGCCTGCTGGTTTCCAAACGTGGCTGTTACGGCAGAATTGCTTGAGCAGTGTGTTAAAAATACATCTTCCCAGATCCTAGTCTCCCAGAGAATCTGCTTGAGGAATCTGTGTTTTTAACAGAGTTTCCAGGCAACGGCAGCTCTACTGCCAGTCTGGGGTTGGGAAGCCACTGGCCTAGACCACTTTTGTTCTCCCGAGTCATCCAGGAGAGCCGTCCAGATCGGCACTCTCCCGGGTGGTAGTCGCTAGCCAGGGGTTGTGATTGAAAGTAGTTCAAGCTCTGTTGGTGGAGCGTGGGGCTCTTGATCTCGGGGTCATGAGTTGAAGCCCCACTTTCGATGTAGAGATGATTTAGCAAAATCTTAAAAAAAAAAAAAAAGGGGGGGAAGCACCTGGGTGGCTCAGTGGGTTAAGCCTCTGCCTTGGCTCAGGTCATGATCTCAGGGTCCTGGGATCAAGCCCCACATCAGGCTCTATGCTCGGCAGGGAGCCTGTTTCCTCCTCTCTCTCTCTGCCTGCCTCTCTGCCTACTTGTGATCTCTGTCTGTCAAATAAATAAATAAAATCTTTTAAAAAAAAAATTTGGGATGGGGGGCTCCTGGGTGGCTCAGTCAGTGAAGTCTCTGCCTTGGCTCAGGTCATGATCCCATGAGCTACATGTCGGGCTCCCTGCTCACTGGGGAGCCTGCTCCTCCCTCTGCCCGCACCTCCCTGTGCTTGTGCCCACGCGCTCACTCTCTAACAAATCAATAAAATCTTTTTTTTTTTTCTAAGATTTTATTTATTCATTTGACAGAGAGCTCACAAGTAGACGGAGAGGCAGGCAGAGAGAGGGGGAAGCAGGCTCCCTGCTGAGCAGACAGCCTGATGTGGGGCTCGATCCAGGGACCCTGAGATCATGACCTGAGCTGAAGGCAGAGGCTTTAACCCACTAAGCCACCCAGGCGCCCACAAATCAATAAGATCGTAAAAAGAATTTTTTTAAATAACTAAAGTCACTAAAGCTCGGTAGCATTAAAAATTCAGTATCTCAGCTGCATGAGCTATGTTTTAAGTGCTCAGGAGGCACCATCGTTGCAGAAAGTTCTACTAGACAATGTTGATCTGGACGTATCTTTCTTTTCTTTTTATACTGCATTTATTTAGAGAGAGCATTCACTCGTGAGAGAGAGCCTGATCAGAGTTTGAGGGGCAGAAGGAGAGGGAGAAGCAGACTCCCCGCTGAGCAGGTGCCTGATTTGGGGCTCGATCCTGGGGCTCCCAGATCATGACCTGAGCCGAAGGCAGGTGCTTAACCGACTGAGCCACCCAGGCGCCCCTGTATCTTCCTTTTTATTCCTTCTGCTCTCTGTTTTGGTTGAACTTGGGGAATAGAAGGGGAGAAAACCAGATTTCCTCTTACTTAGTGTTGCTGTCGCACCGTTTTAGAGTGAGATCGGGGCAAGGAGTTGCTGCAGAAAGGTTTGGAGGGTCTGCACCGTGGGTCGCTGAGACAGAAGCGCTGTCAGTGTCCTGGGGCAAACGGGCTCTGCTCTCGCCGTCAAGGAACACTCCCTGTTGGATGAGAAAAGATGTTGCTTAGGACTGGAGCTTTGGTGACCAGAACCGGAGAAGGGAGCCAGGAATGGGCTGCAGCTCGGGGGAAGCGCTTAGCACATCAGGCGGGTGGTGGGAATGAGGGCAGCTGGTAAGAGGTGAGTGAGGAGGGGTCTCGGCGCGCCTCTCAGCCAAGGGAGACTCAGTCAGGACGTCTCCCCAGAGGAGAGCCCGAGAAGAAGTGAGTTAGTGGGAGGGAAGAGACTGAGGTCTGGGTCAAGCCCGGTGTTGACCGGTGCTCATCCCCGCCCAGAGACCTGGCCTGCCTTCCCAGTTTCTCTCCAGTGCCCCCTCCTCCAGGTGCGGTTCGGTCAACAGAAGCGTTACCAGGATTGGTTCCAGCGCCAGTACCTGTCGACCCCAGACAGTCAGTCTCTGCGATGTGACCTCATTCGCTACATCTGTGGGGTCGTCCACCCGTCCAACGAAGTGCTGAGTTCGGATATCTTGCCCCGATGGGCCATCATTGGCTGGCTGCTGACAACGTGCACGGTGAGGGGCTGGGCTGTGTGGCGGAGGCTCTCGGGTGGTGAAGGGTCCTCTTCCTTGAGTTCCCCCTATTGCCATGTTTCTTCCCGACTCGCTGGGCCTCCTGACCCCACGGGCCCTGCCTTCACTTTCTTCCTGCTCACCATCTCTGCCCTCGTACCCCCTCCGTCCGAGTCTCTCAGAGCTGACCACCCTCTTAGTCCCCATCTGGGGCTGGGGTTAGAAGGGTCCGTCTCTACCTTTACTGCCGGTCCTCAAGCCCAGATTTCTCAGGCCTCCCATCTTTCCTTTTAGTTTTCGGAGCCATATATGGTTATTGCTCGGAATGGCTCCTTCCTCAGATTCAGGGCTTGTGTTCCTTAGACCCTCACTGGGCAGCCTTTAGGCATCAGCTTTGGATACTAAATGCAGACGTAGGGACTCCATGGCTCAGCCACATCTTTCCCAGCATTTTTCTCCCTGTTCCTTGGTAGGAAACTCCACTTTGTCTGCTCTCTGGCTCCTAGTTGCCTTTTGACCTCCCCTGTCTGACTGGGTCCTTGGAATGTGCTGATTCAGACACAAAAATAGGCTGTTTCTGGGGCGTCTTTCAGTCAGGAATGAGCAGGGGAGCCCAGCAAGGACAGGCCAGGGCCTGGTCTGAGTGAGTGTCAGCCAGGTCCCTGGCTCCTTTTCTAGGATCAGGGATGTGTTCTTCTGGATGTGTGGGAACCCAGGTCAATCCCTGGCCCCTTGCTCAGTGAGAACATGGCCACTCACAGACTCGTGTGCCCCGCACCCCTGGGGAGTTCACCTGTCTCACTAGGAAGTGAGTTTATCTCATAGATGGGCAGTTGTGGGGGCCCTGGAGTCTGCCTTGAGCTTCTGAAGGGAGCTGGTGGATGAAATTAGCCATCCCTTCTTACTTCTCTTTCAGTCAAATGTCGCTGCCTCCAATGCCAAGCTGGCTTTGTTCTACGACTGGCTGTTCTTCAGCCCAGACAAGGACAGCATTATGAACATAGGTACGTGACCAGGACCACCTTCTGAGTCCCCGCCTAGCCTTGGTGACAGTAGTCAAAAATCTCAGGGCAGCGTGGGGGGAGGCAGCTTATGCGAGGGCAGCTCCACTGTCACTCACCAGTGCTCCCTTGATGGAGAAGGAAGATTCCTTTCGTGAGGCCAAATGTTCACTCCCCCACTTTTCTTTTTTTTTTTTTTAAGATTTTATTTATTTATTTGACAGAGATCACAAGTAGGCAGAGAGGCAGGCAGAGAGAGAGGAGGAAGCAGGCTCCCCACTGAGCAGAGAGCCCGATGCGGGGCTCGATCCCAGGACCCTGAGATCATGACCTGAGCCAAAGGTGGAGGCTTAACCCACTGAGCCACCCAGGTGTCCCCCCATTCCCCCACTTCTGCCCTAGACCTTCTGCTTTGGCTTCCGGTGGGGGGCGCCTGGGCACAGGACTGTACCACGCCTTGCTTTTCCTCTCCTGTCCTCTCTGTCCTCCAAGCTTCATGCTGGGGACAAGGGAGATGAGGGCTCAGCACTGTTTCAGGGTTGTCTGCTCAGTGGGAATGGGGGTATAAGAGGTAGGGATACAGCTTTCTTCTGAACCATTCATAAGCAGTGATGCCTTGTTCCATGGAGCTGGGAACAGACTATCTGATGTGGGGGCCCTTTCATTCCGCTGTCCCCAGAACCGGCCATCCTGGTCATGCACCACTCCATGAAGCCACACCCAGCCATCACTGCCACACTCCTGGACTTCATGTGCCGCGTAAGTGTGTGTCCCCTCTACCTTACAGGCCTGTAGGTAGCTCTTCCCAGTGCCCTTCATTGTGGGGGCTGCTGTGGTCGTACGTCCTACCCCCCAGGTTAAGGAATGCTCCCCTTCCAATTCCTGCCATCTCCTGTGGAATCTTTGCATGTCTTTCTTGACTTCAGGAATCATGGCTTAAGGTAGAATCTGGTCTGAGGAGTAGCCAGGTCTAGGAAGAATTAACCATTTTAGCAACCTGGAATGGTGAGGAACATTCCAGAAGTTTCTGCACCCATACTCCCTAGTGTCTCCTGATCAAAACTGAAGCAGCTTCTTAGCGCTGGTTCAGCAGAACACTTTGTGCTGTGTGCCATTCTTTGCTTCCTTTCTTCCTTTCCAGATCATTCCCAACTTCTACCCACCATTGGAGGGCCATGTGCGACAGGGTGTGTTCTCCTCCCTCAACCACATTGTGGAGAAACGGGTCTTGGCGTAAGAACTTTATGTGTCTATAAGCAGGGGGGAGGCACTGTTTTCTCATGTGTCACTAGGTCGGGCACATTCTGATACTGTCCTACCACTGCTGACCCTTTTTTCTTGACTGGTACAGAAAGTACTGGCTCTGCCTCAGACTGCTAAGAATATGTCCTCTTGATGCTCAGAGAAATTTCTGTCTTGCCATCATATTCCAAGGATCTGAGTATGGCCCAGCTCTACTGGTTGGGGGTGGACTGTCTCTCCAGCTGAAGTGAGGAGCTCTGATGTTGACCTTCATTCACGTTCCCCCCAGGCATTTGGCTCCCCTGTTTGACAACCCTAAATTGGATAAGGAGCTTCGGGCAATGCTGAGGGAGAAGTTTCCTGAGTTCTGTAGTTCGCCCAGCCCGCCGGTAGAAGGTACGGGCCCTCCCGTTCTGTCACCTGCTTGAGAAGAGCGATGGAGATACCACGTATGTCATCCTGGGGCTGTTCTACCTCTGTGACTGTCCATTTCAGGTTGTTGTTCCTCACCTTCTCTTTAATGAGTTTTTGTGTTGTCTTCCTTGGTTCTCCCTCTCCCTCTCTTCTCACCTGACTTCTACTGACGTCTCTTCCTCCTCAGCTCCTGCGTCTTCCCTCAGGAGCCTCCCTGCCATAGGGAAGGCTTTCATGGGACGTGTGTCTGCCTCACTGTAACTTCATTCAACTCCTCTTTCTTCCCATCCCCAGGCCCCAAGCCCTCACGAGAGGTGGTCATGTTAGGTCTCAGGTCTTTCTCCCAGTTACACACACACGCACACACACACACACACACACACACACGCACACTTTTTTGTTTTGGGGTAAGGGTTAAACCAAGCAGAACTTCCCAACTTGGTTTTGAAGTGAAGAGCACTTGGGGCTGTCCTTGGTCTTACCTACTTGCCGGTGCGAGCTAAGCACAGGAGGCATTTCCCGTACCATTCTGTGAGGTGATGTGAGGACAAGATATCTGTCCTTCCAGGGTCTGTAGTCCACCTGCCTCCAGCCTAGAGAGTTATGCGTCTTAGGTCACAGGAGGCCATCAAATGCCTTGTCTCTTTCCTCCCAAGTCAAACTTGAGGAGCCGGTTTCCGTGGAGATGGACAACCATATGTCCGACAAGGATGAGGGTTGCTATGACAACGCAGAGGCAGCCTTCAGTGACGATGAGGAGGACCTCAGCAGCAGAGGTGGGCCCAGCAGCAAAGGGGCTCTGGATGACATCAGCCCTAAGAGGACCAGGTGGCGGGAGCAGCTCTCTGTGGCTTCTCTGTCGCCTGGGCCCCCTGAGTTAGTTCCGTTAGTAGGATTTCTGGATGGGACTCCTGGGTGCAGAGCCCTGCCCTCGGCCCCAAAGCAGTGGAGAGAGAAGGAGGAGGGCCCCCCACCGTTGTGTGCTCTGCAGGCTGGGTGTGCCCACATGCACGGTGTTTGCGCACTGGCGCGTGGGGCTGTCCCTGCTGCTGGGGCCTGGGCAGGTGACCACTTCCCTCAACACCCTCTTCAGGGAAGAAGAGAGAGTTCCGCTTCCACCCTATCAAGGAGACCGTGGTGGAGGAGCCAGTGGACATCACCCCTTATCTTGACCAACTGGACGAGTCCCTGCGGGACAAAGTGCTCCAGCTACAGAAGGGGAGGTGCGCGCCGTTTCAGTCCTCACTGTGGGAGGCTCAGCCCCAGGCTTGCTTCTGCTACCTGGGGGTGCTGGGAGTACGGAGAGGGAGCAGAGGCCTGTGACGTGCCTTCTGCAGTTTGGGGGGCGTTCAGGCGGGGCAAAGGGCAGCCTCGGTCCTCAGCACGTGGTTCTCACTCTGTACATTCTGAGGACATGAGTCTCTGAGAACCAAAGCAGGAGGATGGGGATTTCCCTTCTCTTAGGGCCTCTGCCCAGAGAGTAGCAAATTCTGCCTTAAAGCCTCCCAACCCAAGCCAGGATTCCCACAGAGGTCCTTTATTTTATCTGTGCGTGAATGTGCTTTGCTGGGTTTGCCCTGCCCTCTGCTGTCATTTACGTCCCTGAGATTTCCTCTCAATTCTGCACTACAGTGACACCGAGGCCCAGTGTGAGGTCATGCAGGAAATCGTGGACCAGGTCCTGGAGGTGAGAAGATCCCACCCAGTGCAGGACTCCCCCACCCAGGCACCTGACTCCTTCCCATGCCCCAGCTGCTCACCTCTGGTTAATCCTCGAGGTGGAAGCAGATGGAGTTCAGGGGCTCTGGGTCCTGGGACTGGTAAGGGTGGGGTCATGTGGTGATACCCTGTTGGTTGTCTCACCACCCAGGAAGACTTCGACTCGGAGCAGCTGTCTGTGCTTGCTTCCTGCCTGCAGGAGCTCTTCAAGGCCCACTTTCGAGGGGAGGTGTTGCCTGAGGAGATCACTGAAGAGTAAGGCTTATCTTCCCTGACCCCTCTGTCCACTCAGTGGCTCCTGGGAGCCAGAAGTGTGGTCTTAGAGTCCTAGTCCAGGAGGCATCTTGCTGTAGACTTGAGAGGAATAATCTTCACTTGTTTTCTTTTCTTTTTTTATTATTTTATTTTCAAGGAATCTCTACACCCAACACGGGGCTTGAACACAGACCCCAAGATCGAGGGTCACACACTCCACCAACTGAGCCAGCCAGGCGCCCCTCTCTTTACTTGTTTTTATTCTCATGTGTGCTGATTCACTTAAGGAGTCATTTTTGTCTGCCGAATGCAGAGCATGGGGCAGAGAGTAGCACCCCTTCCTGTGTGCCCAGTCTTTGCTGCTATAGGTGGGATTGGACCCTCTCAGAAGGGCAGGAATCCCATTTTCTTTTTCTTTCGTACTTTCTTTTTTTTTTAAAGATTTTATTTTTATTTATTTATTAAAGTTCTTTTTTTTTTTTTTTTTTTTTTTT